AATAGTCTGAAGCGATAAAAATGATACTAAATAGGGGCGCCTGGGTGGCTCAGTCGGTTAAGCATCTGCCTTCAGCTCAGGTCATGATCCCAGGGTCCTGTGATAGAGCCCGGCGTCGGGCTTCCTGTTTAGTGCGAAGCCTAATTCTCCCTCGGCCTGCCATTCCCCCTGCTGTACTTTCTCACTCTCTGTCAAACAAATAAATAAAATCTTTAAAAAATGATACTAAATGAATAGGTCTGTGTATGTAGAACAGGGTGCAAGTCTATGTACCTGTAAGGATATACACCAATGGGATCACAATGGCTGACTTGTAATGAAGGGGAAAATTCAGATTGGGAATGAATGTTCTTAGTCTTGCTCTTTATATATTCTAATATTTCTCTGTAACAAGTATACATTGCTTTTATAACATAATATCACAAAACAATAGGAGGAACTAGATTCTGGTGGAAAACACAGTTGTACTTACTTCAACCAGATCAAACTGTCTCCAGTTAAGCTTTTAATCTGCTGTCTCATCAGGCTGTGCATTTGTTTGATAGATGGCTAAGTTGCCCCTGGCCTGTCATACTGCTATTTGCTTTGAACTCTAAACATCTGGGTGACAAAATCTGTAGCTGTTTAATATTGTTGTTTTGGTTTGGTTTGTTTTTTTTAGTGTTTGAATGTATAGGGAAAAATACATAAAAATTCTTCATATCATCAAGATGAAATCGAGAACAACTAGTCCAATGCATTGAAGGCAAACCAACCCCATAAGTTGGTGCAGGAAAAGAAACAGAGATTGACCCATATCACCTTTGTGTGTCCCCTTTCAGTGGCATCCTATAGAGCACGGGACACTGAGTGCACTTAGACATGTTGAAATAATCACAAACGCAGATTCCTTAACAGCCAACTGCACTTTCTTCCTGTTATAACAGAATTATACTATACAAACCACCCCTTTGCTTCAGTATATAGTTAACCCTATTCATTAACAATTTTCAAAGCCTTCTTTGTCTTTTCTTTTTTAAGATCTTATTTATTTATTTATTTGAGAGAGAGAGAGCGAGCAGGGGGGAGGGAGAAGGACAAGCAGACTCTCCACTGAGCAAGGAGTTCGACACGGGGTTCAACCCAGAATCCTGGGATCACAACCTGAGCCAAAGGCAAACACCTAACCGAGTGAGCTACCCAGGCACCCCAAAGGCTTTATTTTCCTTAACCACCAGGAATGACCACTTTATATATTAATGATAATGAACATATGTTCAGGAAATAGTAAAGAGCCGAATTCAGATTTTTTATTGAATTTATATTTTATATTTCTATTTTCTAATTAAAATCAGAAGGATAGCTGTTATTTTTTTTTTTTTTTACTCATATAAGAGAGAAAGAGAAGGTTTGTGCCTGCTCAAAAAGAAAAATGTGGAGCGCCTTGGTGGCTCAGTCATTAAGCATCTGCCTTCAGCTCAGGTCATGATCCCAGTGTCCTGGGATGGAGGTTCATATGGGGCTCCCTGCTAGGCAGGAAACCTGCTTCTCCCTCTCCCACTTCCCCTGCTTGTGCTTCCCCTGCTTGTGTTCTCACTGTGTATCTCTAACTGCCAAATAAATAAATAAAATCTTTAAAAAAAAGAAAAGAAAAGAAAAGAAAAATGTCTCTGAAAAAATGAAAATTTTAGTTAAACATCCATATATTTTATCTTTGTGACATCAAATACAAAAAGAATTGGGCTTGGGGCACCTGGTGGCTCAGGGGGTTAAAGCCTCTGTCTTCAGCTCAGGTCATGATCTCAGGGTCCTGGGATCGAGTCCCTCATCCAGCTCTCTGCTTGGCGGGGAGCCTGCTTCCTCCTCTCTCTCTCTCTGCCTGCCTCTCTGCCTACTTGTGATCCCTCTCTGTCAAATAAATAAATAAAATCTTAAAAAAAAAAAGAATTGGGCTTGGGGGAATTGTGGATTTAGTTTTATTTTTGTTTTATTTTTATTTAGCCAATTAGCATTATGTGGAATGCCACAGTGGAACTGAAAAACTCTCTTGTATTTCAAAAATCAGAATAAAATAAGTTGAACTTTTTTCTTGTACCTTTCTCAGAAGTTTTTGAAAAATGTGAAGGGCACAGGTTAAAAGTATTAAAAGCCATGTGTTTGTAAATAAGAATTGTAAGAATGGACATAACTGAATATTAATAAGTGCTCAAACACTAAAGACATTTAAGAAAAGTTAGCTTGGGAAAAAGAAGAATGGGAATAATTTAACCATTGGTTTCAAATAAGTAACAGGATGGGAGAAAGAAGGGAGAGACCATCTTGTTGCCAACCCCACTTAAAGACAATACTCGTGAGAACTGGCTTTAAACTCTATTACGTCTTAGACCAAGTATAACTCAAGGCTGGGCCCATGATGAATATCTTTTAACACCTTCTACTCAACACATCTCCTATATGCAGACCCCCTGTGATGTTGTGAGCCAGGTAGACAGATCTGTGTTAACACTACCTACCACAGAATGTTCCAGAATGTTCCAAAAGGAGCCACTAATAACCCATGCAAGTATCAAGGAAGAGCAGCTGTGTGGAAAAGAGACATCAACTGCATGAGTGCAGTTTGATGGGTGAAGAGAAAAGGATTCCAGGGAGGGGGATCCACATGTTCAAACATAGTAAGATCCCATAATGTGCTCAAAGAATACATTTCTGTGTGACTATGCCAAAAGGTGGCCCCACAGAATCAAGCCCAGCTCAGCTTTGCAGAAGTCTTCCTTCCACCATGTTAAGAAGGTACCCGGTTTTGCCTCAGAGGTAATTGTAGTACTTTTATAGTAAAGACTTTTTATAAAGAAATGACATAATGGTGTCAGCATTCTAATGTTGAAAATACCATTTTGGTAATAGTATGAAGAATAGATCAGTAAGCATGTAATATGGTGGGCTGTTGCAATATTCCAGACCAAAAAATACACACACACACACACACACACACACAGAACTGAATTAAGGGTGTCAGAGTTAGGGATGATAAAAAGGAAGCAGGGTCAAACAGTTCTAAGTTGTTAGCAGGGACAGAACTTGTTAATGGTTTTGGTGAAGAGGAAAGATGAGGAGAAGAGCCTGGGATAATCCTAGGTTTTTGCCTTGAGCAACCAAGAAGACGGTGCCACATTTTCTCGAATCGGGGCATACAGGAGGAGAAACAGATTTTTCCAGCACAAGTAGTTTGGGGAGATGTCACATTTCATTTTCCAGTCATAGCGTTTATGGTATCTATGAGATACATAAGGAAAAATTTTCATTTACTAGAAAGTAAGATCCATGAATTCAAGGCCCTTGTTGGTTTATCTGTATTGGTTGGTTTAGTTCAGCCGATCAGACAGGTGGCTTTCAACATAATCATCGCTTCACACAATACCTGACAGATGATAAATGCTCAGCCAATTCCAGCTGAATGTGTGTTTTTGCATGAATTTGTGGGTCTGGATCTCAGGACAGGTGATTATTCAGCACTCTCTAGTTTCCAGAGAACTCTAGAACCTCCTTTGATGTCTACCAAGACCATTTTACGTCTTGAAATATTGTGATTCTGGTCCACTCCCACAGGAGTGAATTACAGAAATCTTACTAAGAGTCCTAGATTACTCTTTGTGCACAGATATATAGGCAAGGTTGTTGGCTTCCTGACAGTTGAGGAAAAATTACAAAACCAATTTTTGAAGTGGTCAGACTGAGCAGAATGAATGGTAAAGTCATAGCATTGGAGTGAGCCTCTGTTTTTTTTTTTTTGTTTGTTTGTTTTTTTTAATCAGACGTATGGCTTTCAAGTTGCTATTGAAATGGTTAGGAGAGCCAAGCATAATTGTTGAGATGGCCGTGATCCACATATACACCAAAACTCTAAAGGAGATTGTTAAATTAGAATGAGTAGCAGTGAGAAGTGCATAGCTCCAGCAGAAATCTGGAAAAGACTTTAAGAAAGGAAAACCCCTTTAGTAAATGGCTCTGCTACTTGGAGGAGTTGGAACAAATCTTCCTTGCCAGAGAAGCTTGAATTACCTGCCTATCCCTTTAAGCATTTTCTTGTACAAATCAAACACAGATGGCCCATTACGTTTATGACCTCCTGTCAATTACTCTAGATGGAGCATGCATTAATTATTGAAATATTTTCATAGTATACAAGTTTTTAGTGGTTACATTGCCTCAGATAATTTCAACTTTCTGATGAGAAGCCGGCATAAAGTATTTTATTTATGAAAATTAATCTCTTGAATGTAGTAAAACCTGCAAATACAGTAGTAGATTTTTTTTTCCATTTAACAAAGCCAAACTAAAAATCCTGGCCTCTATCCTTGGAAGTTGGCGTTATGTTAGCTTTGCCTGCAATACATAAACTCTGCCAAAATCTATTACAATTGTAGTAAATTTTGATTACTGGAGTTGTTTGTTATTTATGTCTAGAAGATAAAGATAATATTGGGAATAGCCCTCTTCCACTCAATGTATAAATTACATCCATAAAATATCTTGTTTTGTAAACAGTAAAATTAAAAAAAAAAAAGACGACTTGGTTGAAGCTTCAAATATTTGCATCTACTTCTGTTCGAGTCAATAAACACTTCAGATGATGTAAAAGTCCACAGAGCGTTTAGACCTTTAACTGTGCCACTCGTTTTTTGTCAGGCATGGTAAACAAAACCCTGGGGCCATCTGACTGTTAAAACAGCGATAAGAATGTTCCAGTGAAGGTTCACTCTCAGAGAACGTGAAGACACTTGCAAAGGGAGCTTAGAGAAAGGCTTCTGTATTTTCTGTCACTCTGGAAGGAAGCTATTCATTCAACAAACATGGAGCACTGACTCTGTGCAGACAACCCCTCTGGGCATTTGGAGTACATTGGGGAACAACAAAAATATTTCTGCTCCTACCAGGAGAGATTCTAACAAAATCAACTGCCTCCTTTCTTCTAACTCTGCCCAGAGAAGAAAGCTGAAGTTCAGAGAGGTGAGCTAACTTACCTAACATCACCCATCAAGAAGGCTGTAAAGTCAGAAGAAGAGCCCAGGTCATCAGAGCCCATCTTCTCAGTCTGCCATATTCTCTTGTGCCTTTCCCATTTCCAACTGACCTTTTGCTGGTCCTTGAGGAGTTCATACTTGCATGTAGTTAGCTGGACTCTCTTCAGTAGACGTTTTCAGTGGACTAACCCTAGAAAAAAATTGATTAATTTAAAAAATGCGTTGTCTTTGTTTCCTCTCTCTGAAATCCACGTAAGTGTAGGGTAAGAATGCTACAAATAAGACATCATCACAGGAATACTGATTCACAGCCTGGGGGGGAACCGTGGCCCTAGAGGGGACAAGCAAAGTTCATGCATGACCATTGGCTTCTTTCTCTGGCCAAAGCCAAAGATGGATTGAAAACTGGAACTCTAGCAAGACACACATGGAGGGTGCTAAAGGCATTGTGCTTTCACAATGGCTTTGTAGGACATGGAAGAGAGCAATCTCTACATACTGTGGTGACAGCCAAGGCTGGAAAACTATGGTCCCTAGCTAGAGTCAGGTGGAAGTGATGTTTATCTACTGGACCCCTCTCACAGACATTCACAAAAAACACTATTGATGGGAGAATTCACATAAAAATTAATGATACTGAGTAAATGCTGTTCAATTAATTTGGGGTGTTAATTTTGCCAATCTAAAAAAATACTTTCCAACCACAAAAAATAAAACTCTCCCCAGTTTATTTAGCACATCATACTTTCTAAAACCTTCTTGCTCTTGGTGAGACAGAGTCAGAGGGCTGTCTGAGGTCATACCAAATTTGACAGACGACAGCCTAGAAACTAGGCTTCCTGATTTACCACATTGAGTTCTGGATACTCGTTCAGGATGCTTCTTATTCAGTCCTCATCAGAGTCGATATGAGAAAGCGTCATGATGGTCATTGGCCACATGAGAGTCTGAAGCTCAGGAACACAGAAAAAGTCAGTCCCCAGTTCAAGTCAGAGAGAGGTAACTGAGCTTACAAAGTAGTCCACTAAGGGTGCTCTGGTAAGAAGGAGGGCACGTGTAGGAGAAGTGAAGTTATACTGGAAGAGAAGATGAAATGTGCAAGAATAGAAGTATGTACAAGGCAAAGAAATTGTACAGAGGTAGAAGGAATTAATTTCATCTAGCATTGAATAAAAGTCCAACCAGTTGCAAATATACCTAATTTGTTGTGATCAAAAGTATAAGATATTGGGACTTGTTATGTAGTGTCTACAGCTATTGTTTCTTCTTCTTTTTTTTAAGATTTTATTTATTTATTTGACAGCGAGAGCACAAGGGAGGGGAAGGGCAAAGGGAGAGGAGGGAGTAGACTCCCCGCTGAGCAGGGAGCCTGGTGCAGGGCTCAACCCCAGGACTCTAGGATCATGACCTGAACCGAAGGCAGATGCTTAACAGACTAAGTCAACCAGGCGCCTCTAAAGCTGTTGTTTCCGATGAGATGGCATAATAGAATTACCTCGGAAGCTTGAAAAAAATGCAATCTGATGCTTAATAAGTTGGCAACTTTGGACATACAGTGCAGGAATCTGGTTTTTAACAAGCCATATTTGGAGCCCATGATCTAAAATCCTGCTACTCAAAGTATGATCTGGGGACAAGCAGCCTCTTAGGAATGAAGACTCTTAGACCCCACCCAGGCACAATGAATGGGAAAGCACCTTTTAACAAGATCCCTAAGTGACTTCCTCTACACTTGACAATTTAAAGAGCACTGGTCGACAGCATCTGTCTCCTACTATGTATTCACCTAATCAGAAAAAATAAGTCAGGGGTGCCTGGGTAGCTCAGTCGGATAAGCGTCCAACTCTTGATTTTGGCTCAGGTCATGATCTCAGGGTCTCGGGATCGAGCGCCTTGTGGGGTTCCACACTCAGCAAGGAGTCTGCTTGAGGATTCTCTCTCTCCTCTCCCTCTGTCCCTCCCCCCACTCATGCACTCTTTCTTTCTCTAAAATAAATAAATAAATCTTTAAAAAAATAAAAAGAAAAGACAAAATAAGCCAGCATGACATAGAGTGTTCTTAGTGAACCCATGCAGGACCCAAGTGAGCTCTGCCTCTATCCCCAACTTCCTTTCCATTCTAACCTTCTAGATTTCCATCACCCTCTGATAAAAAATTACAAAGTAGCCAATCAAGATTTTCTCCTAAGTTTTGTTGAAACGCAGCATCTACTTCATGGGGTATCTAAGTATTTCAAGCATTTCCAAAAGTCACCTGTGATATTTTAGGGCAAGTAAATCACCATTTTTACATACCTCAATTTCCACTAACTCTCCCATTTCCCACAGTTTCTTGAAGACAAGTAAAGCACCCTGGCAATCCCATCAGCTAGTTTTCTTTGCCCCCCCCCCCCATAAGATAATCAGTCCAGCAAGATCAAGAGACACGGATGTGTTTATAGTAGCTGGGAAAGCTATAACAATTCTACCCTCGTGCTAAAGCATCAGGTTCGTCTTACAAGTGTTTGTTTAAACCAGTCCCCTTGAGTGGAATTGGTGCAATTTCTCCTTGTTTGTAAGGCCAATGCGTCCTCTGCCCTGCTTAGGGGGAAGCCCTCCAGCCACCATTCCAGGGTAACAGAGGAAGAAATTCTCTTCCTCCAGCCCAATTGTCACCACTCAGCTGGGAGCAATACAGCTCATGCAACGCTTAGGTTTTGACAGGCACTCACTATTTTACTATATAATAAAAGAAATTTCAAAGAAATAAAATTAGTTGCAATTCTGCCACCCTGACAAGTTCATGGGCCATATGCATAGAAAGTTAAGTTTACATGTGGTTCACCATTTCCCTTCCCTTATGTCAAAGCTGGTTTTCCATATGGTTATAGAATTCACAGCATTTTTCTGCCCACATAGCACTTCAATATTGTTATGCTATGTATATGGCATCAATCTACAACTCTTGGACATGGAGTTGGCTTCCAATTTTTCATTATTAGAAATACCTTTTAACAGCTTGTATTAGAGTTTTTAGAGATTCAATCCTAAGAGCTGACAATGATCTTTAAAGAAAAGAAGAAGTTGGTCTGTGGCCAGGACTGCATTGCTAACTTACATTAGGCTCCTCATAAGTGTATACCATTAGTTAGAAGGGGGAGCAGGCAAAAATTTTTAAAAACTATATAAAATCAATGCTTTCTATCTTAAAAATCTACTGAAAGTACATGATCTACTAAGAGACCCAAAAGTATCATTTTCATCCATGAATTACTATACATAATATAGACTAAATATGTTATTCATATAATGGAGTTAGCTTCATTGCACTTAAAGGTTCTGAGTTACAAACAATTCATGGGTTACATTGTCGGCCATTTCCTGATTAGATGCCTGCACGAGAATAGAGTTAAAGAGAAACCTGCTGTAGCCTAGCGTTTTAATACAGCTGTAATTTGATTACATTCTCACTTTCTGCTTTAGACTGTGGAATTGAAAACACATTACTCTCCAACACTTAGAAGCTCCTTAACCTTTATTGAGGTTATAGTCCAGCCATTTCACGTAGAACTAGCCCAACATCTGACTTCCGTTTTTCCCTTCCTTGTTAGCTGTCCCGCAAACAATGGCGACGCTGGTTGTGGTGGAGCATGAGGAAGATGGCAGAAGCCACATTAAGTACACAGTTTTGAGAATAAGGTCTCCTCTAGAGTTCAGGGAAGGGGTATCTAGGGCATGAGAAGAACAGAGAGGCAGCAAGATTTCGAGAATCGTGACCATTTTTGTTTTGCTAAGTAAAAGGTATATAAAGGAGGAGAAAATATGTTTTAAAAGACTGGTCTGGAGACAAATCCATGAAGGACTTTGAACAATAGGACAAAGAGTCTGAAGAATAAGAAAATACTGCAGTAAGAACTCATCCAAACTAGGTTTTTATTTCATAGATTGAGTCAGTGAAATGGGTTGAAGACAGGAGGGTGTGCTGGGGTAAATATGGAGCTTCCATATTGTTTCAAAAGTTGGTAGGAGGGGAAGGGTCTGAAGAGGCAGCAACGGAGAATGGAGAGCGGGACATGGGTAGAAGGTTCTACAGAGGGGAACAAAAATTCACTGAGTGAAGGAGACAAGGAAAGTTGTTCTTAGCAAGTTATTCCATAACAATGTCCTTCCCAGGCCCTAAGCCCTAAGCAAACACCAGCTTGTCACAAGGCTATCTTCTCAAATGTAAGAATCTATAGGTCTTTGGTATGAAACTGTCTGAAACAATTATTCGAATCTGGGCATCAATGTTATGACCAAAATGGAAATATGTAATTGACTTTTCACACACATTTGTAAAGGATGAACAATAGATTTGTTTTGGTCTGGTTTTTTGACTGCTGCCACACAATCTCTAATTAGCTGGCCACCTCAATGGGCCAAGCAGCCCAACTTCTAGACATTTGGCCAGTGAGGAGGCTGGCTGGCCCAGCTCACCCTGGAACGAAGAAAAGTCAATGAGAAGGCACTTTGGATGTTCTCCATCTTCTTGGAGAAGCAAAGGCAAAGTTTTTAACCAAGAATAAGAGTGAATGAGTGACATATAGGTAGGAGTAGAATTGAGAAAAGTCGTATCAGAGATTCTTTTTTTTTTTTAAGTATCTTCACTATAATATAGTGAGTTTTATTTTTTTAATCATTTTTTTATTTTCAGCATAACAGTATTCATTGGTTTTGTACCACACCCAGTGCTCCATGTGTATCAGAGATTCTAATAGAACTTTCATTTAAAAATTAAACTGGCTAGGGGTGCTGGGTGGCTCAGTTGCCTTTGGCTCAGGTCATGATCCCAGGGTCCCAGAATTAAGCCCCTCACCAGGCTCCCTGCTCAGTAGGAAGTGTGCTTCTCCTTCTCCCACTCCCCCCTTGTATTCCCTCTCTTGCTGTGTCTCTCTCTGTCAAATAAATAAATAAAAATTTTTAAAACTTAAATTGGCTAGATAATTTGGCAGTAACCATCAGAAGATGAAATGTGCACACCCAGCAATTTCACTTTAGGTACCCATGCTAGACAAACACTCTTGCATAGGAATATTATGAGCATGACACATATGGGCATATGAAAGAAATACTGAGAGAGTATATAAGGAGTTATGTCCAGGGATAGTCAGTGCAGCATTGTGCCTGAGCAAAAAGGTAGTAGGAATCTGTGCACATTGTACGGGAATGACT